AGAGTGGCTTACAATCTCCTTTCCCTTCCCCTCCCCACAACAGATGCCGTGTCAGGTAGGTGGGGCTGAGAGAGCTCTCTTGGGAACTGCCCTTGAGAGAACAGCTCTGAGAGAACTTGTGACTGGCCCAAGGTCACCCACCTGGCTGCATGTGGCGATGTGGGGAATCAAACCCGGTTCTCCCAGATTAGAGCCCGCACTCCTAACCACTACACCAAACGGCTCTCATAGACAATACCGTCCTTGATGAACCAATGCTGTGGTTCGATATAAGGCCGTTGGATGTATGTTCATGTTCGTACCGGAATGTTCAAGCAGGATTCTGTTTGGGGAGAGTCTTTGTGCAATCGGCCTGGGCCCTCTGACCCGGACTGACCCCAGACTTGTGCCAGATGTGTGCCAAACTGCACACCTTGATACATGTGCAGAAGCCATGCCATTGGAAGTACAATCCTGGCTGCAGTTTGACCCAGAATCCAGGCGCAAGAGTGTCTTTCAAGGCAGAGAGACCACCCCGATTGCAAGACCCCGCTGCTGATCCTGTGCCCCCCCTCCCCCCCCTTTCTCTCCCCGCATGCCCACCCAGGGAGTCCACTTTTGAAATACCATCTCCTGGCAGTGTGGTATTTTGTTCTTCCTTCCCCTTTGTATCCTTTTATTGTTGAGGTGTGTGAAATCTCAAGTCACACAACCATATGCTGATGAATTGCCAGGTTGCTTGGGTATTGAATTGCAATAAAAGGAACATTCTTTATAGCATTTAGCCTGGATTCAGTTTCCCCATAATGCAGAGGAACTTCATGATGGACGTGACCAAATGGCTCACCATTGAGAGGAAGCATTTAGTGGTTGCATTGTAAGATTTGCCTTTGTTTTAATGATGATAAAAGATGATAAGCAGCACTGGCAGCTTTAAAAAGGGAAATGTTCACAGGAGTGCGGGAGCTGTGGCAACAATATTTGTTTTAATTCATTGTGGTTTGTGCAAGCCTTATTGAAATGAATCATGGTTGCACATCTGTAGCAGTGTGCAATCTGATGTCTCATAGGGTGGGGAAGAGAACGCAGAAGCACTTTAGGAATATGTGAAAGCCTGATTTTTAAATGATCAATTACCTCTGTGGTTCCCTATGAAAATGTATTTATTTATTTCATTTATTTATGGTGGTGGTAGAAAGAGCCATTGTGTTGTAACCAACTTATGGCAACCCAGCAGGGTTTTCAAGGCAAGAGACGAGAACATGGGTGGTTTGCCCTTGCCTGCCTTTCTGCAGTCAGCAACTCTGGTCTTCCTTGGTGGTCTCGCATCCAAGTGCTAACCAGAGCCAACCCTGCTCAGCTTCTGGGATTGGGCTAGCTTGTGCCTTCCAGGTCAGGGTGCGGGAAGTGGAGGGAGTTTATTTATCTATCTATTTAGTTTAAACATTCATTAGCCGCCTTTCTTCCTTATTGAGCACCGGGTGGTTTACAATATCAATAAACCGAATACATAAACCCAAAAATACATACGCCCGAATGTTCATACCACAATTTAGGACTGTTTTAATCAAATGCAGTCCTAAATAAAACCGCCTTCAGCTGCCTTCTAAAGATATCCGTGGAAAAGGAACGAAGAGTCAATAAAGATAAGTTGCAAAATTGTTTGCCGTAGTAATTTCTGTAGGAAATTTTCTTCTATTCTCGCTCACACGCTAACGAATGCTGCGCAATGTAAACAATTCGTTTCACGATATTTCCTTTATCTGAGCGTGTAGCCATCCCAGTTCTTATCAATTACTACTTATCAACTCCTGAAGGAAACACGCCATGTTGACTCTCTAATAACATGGAACATTTCCTTCAGGAGTTGATAAGTAGTAATTGATAAGAACTGGGATGGCTACACCCTCAGATACAGCAGATATTGTGAAACGAATTGTTTACATTCCGCAGCATTCGTTAGCGTGTGAGCGATAATAGAAGATAATTTTCTACAGAAATTACTACAGTAAACTATTTTGCAACTTATCTTTATTGACTCTTCGTTGTTTTTGTCACGGATGTTGTTTTTGGAATTCCACTTCCTCCCGCGATCTCTCATTTTTGGCTTCACCTCCCAAAGACTGACAGGGGGTCAGGGGCCTTCCCCAGGAAGGTTCCACTTAACCTCTACACCAAACTGGCTCTCCAGGTGTGGGTGAGTTTAGGTGGGTGGGTGGATGGTGGTGGAGAGATGAGATTGCAAAAAGCAGGGATGGTTCTAGAGGATTCTGGGGCAGAGCGTGCCGGATCCCGGGGCTTCAGGAAGCGTGTCCGATGCAGTGGAGATTGAAAGGCAGCAGGAAATGGGCCCTTTGGGGATAACCAGGGGGAGGGAAGAGAAACGAGGCGGGCAAAGACTCTGAGACGGCTCTCTCCTCCCCTTAGGAGGCCTGTCCCTCGCCGTGGAGGGCCCCTCCAAGGCCGAGATCACCTGCAAAGACAACAAAGACGGAACCTGCACTGTCTCCTACCTGCCCACGGCACCCGGCGACTACAACATCATCGTCCGCTTTGACGACAAGCATATCCCCGGCAGCCCTTTCACGGCCAAGATCACAGGTGAGGATTTTCGGGAACCTCCCCACTCCCCCACCGTCCCAGTCGCCACCCCCTCCCCGCCTGCAGAGGCACCGAGTCCCTCTTACCTGATGTCCCCCGACCTCTTCTCCCAACACCAGGAGACGATTCCATGCGGACCTCCCAGCTGAACGTGGGCACCTCCACCGACGTGTCGCTGAAGATCACGGAGAGTGACCTGAGCTTGCTGACGGCCAGCATCCGGGCGCCGTCCGGGAACGAGGAGCCGTGTCTGCTCAAGCGCCTGCCCAACCGGCATATCGGTGAGCCGACGGGTGGGTGGGTTATAGGGGTGGTGGTGGAAAGGGCCGGCGAGTGGCAGCTGACTTAAGAAGAGGAGGTTGGATTTATACCCCGCCCTTCACTCAGAGTCTCAGAGCGACTTACGATCTCCTTTCCCTTCCCCTCCCCCTCCCCACAAGAGACACCCTGTGAGGGAGGTGGGGCTGAGAGAGCTCTCTTGAGGACTGCTTTTGAGAGAACAGCTCTGAGACAACTTGTGACTGACCCAAGGTCACACCAGCAGCTGCAAGTGGAGGCGTGGGGAATCAAAGACGGTTCTCCCAGATTAGAGTCCTCGCACTTAACCACTGCACCAAACTGGCGACCTCATAGGGCAGTGGTGGCGAACCTATGGCATGGGTGCCAGAGGTGGCACTCAGAGCCCTCTCTGTGGGCATGTGTGCCATCGCCCCAGCCAGGCCCAGACCATCATTAAAGTGTCAAATTCTCTGCCAAATAATTTTAAGTAAATGAAAGCATTTGGGATTGCTTTCCTTACTTTGTTTGGATCATCTTAAGTTAATGTATGGGTTATTTTTTCTAAAGTAAAACCTCAGTATTCAGGTTAAATTGCTGTGTTGGCACTTTGCGATAAATAAGTGGGTTTTGGGTCGCAGTTTGGGCACTCGGTCTCTAAAAGGTTCGCCATCACTGCTGTAGCAGTGTTCAAGGCAAGAATTATAGCATAGGAAGGGAACTCCAGGGTCATCTAGTCCAACCTCCTGCACAGTGCAGGAAATTCACAAATACCTTCCCCTCTGCACACCCAGTGACCGCTGTTCCATGCCCAGAAGATGACAAAAAACCTCCCAGATCCCCAGCCGAACCGGCCTGGAGAAAAATTGCTTCCTAACCCCAAAGTGGCGATCGGCATTTCCCTGGGCGTGTCAGAAAGGGCCACGAGAACTAAGCCCTGAGGCGACCCTTCCTGCCCTCCCTCTCATGATCTGCCTCAGTTCACAGAATCCTCATTGCTGTCAGATGGCCCTCTAGCCTCTGTTTGAAAACCTCCAGAGCACAACGCAGAGTACTAACCACTATACGATTGTTAGAAATATTACAAATGAATATGCCGTTAATACCAGAAACATACTTACTCAATATGATACCGGACACAATAAAAGATCATAACCATCTAATCGTATATATATTGACAGCAGCTAGAATATTAATAGCAGAGCGATGGAAAACAAAGAACTTAAGTGCAAAATCATGGAAGTAGCAGAAATGGACAAATTAAATATAGCACTACAAAATAAATCGGAGGAGCTCTTCTGGGACAGAGGGGAAATAATTTACGACTGGCTGAAGATGAAGAAGACATAATAGAACTGAAACTAGGCTAGTTAAAGACAGATAATGTTAAAGAAGATAGATGACCGTTATGTTATGAAATGTATAAGATTGAAATGAATATGTTTTGGTGAAAACTGAAAATAAATTTATTTTTAAAAAAAGAAGAAAACCTCCAGAGCAGTGTTCCCTCTAAGCTGAGTCAGTGTGAGCTAGCTCACAGTTTTTTAGCCTCCGGCTCACACATTTTTGTCTTAGATCTGGAAGGAGGGCTCCAGAGCGAACTGATTTATGCAGCAGTCAAATCGCTCGCTCACAACTCGAATGCCAGGAGCTCACAAAGCAGAATTTTTGCTCACAAGACTCCACAGCTTAGAGGGAGCATTGCTCCAGAGAGCCTACCACCTCCCGAGGAAGCCTGTTTTTTTCCTCGCCACCTATATATTCGGAAACCTTTCATTTATAACAAATTCATCAAAAGGCAGAGAGTGGATGCAGCGAGTTTAAAGCACTGCCGAGGAGGGAAAAAATGAAAACGCTTTCGCATTCCAGTCCAGAGAAGACGGATACCGAACCAGAAACTGATTGCAAAATGAGAAGCAAAAACACTGAGGGCGATTTCGCACTAGAGCTGCCTCGCGGCGCAGCCGCTGTTTGCCCCGACACTATTTGTCAATTTCACACCCGAGGCTGCGGGGCTGCATTTGACCCGCGGCTTCGCCCGATTTCCTCCGCAGTTTCGTGATCCTCAAAAACCAGGATCACGAAACTGCGGAGGAAATCGGGCTAAGCCGCGAGTCAAAATGCAGCCCCGCAGCTTCGGGTGTGAAATTGACATGTTTGTGTCGGGGCAAACGGTGGCTGCGCCGCGAGGCAGCTCTAGTGCGAAATCGCCCTGAGTTAACCCATGGTCCAGTCTTCTCTGTTTGCTTCCCACTTTCCTCTGCTGGAGCCACCAAAGCCCTTTAGTGCCTATTTTCTTCTCCGCCAGGGCCGCAAACCCCAAAGCGGCCCCAGGCCTTCCTGTCAAATGCACTAGAGTTAGTTGAACAGCACTGAAGCGTGCCAGCTGATGGTTCCTCTCATTGCCAGTCGGTGGAGCTATTGCTTGACCTGAATCCGATGCTGTTCACGAAGTCCACACTCCGGAGGGCCTTGCTGCTGTGCCGGGTCTCTCCCTACTCGGTTTATCCCATGACGTCGATTGTGGGAATGAAACACTCCTGTGAGGCAAGCCTGGGAGTTCAAGTTCTCACAGGGAGATTGGCAAGCAGTGCACAAAGTCTGCTGAGTCTGCTGGTCTGCTGAGAGTATAAACTTGGCTACATTCGGGCAAGATAGGAGAGCTTCAGCGTAAAGAATATTCCGTTAAGAACATACTGTAATCCTAGTTTGAGGCTTCTATTCGTAACGTTTTCACTGTACAGGGCAGGGGGTGGGGGAGAAATGTGTGAGTCTGCTTTAATAAAACGCTGCTGACATCCAGTTATTGAGGTACAGAGAGAGCTTGAGAACTTGGTCAGAGAGTTTTGGCAGATCTGTGTGTTGTGTCGTTTATTTGAACCTACAGTTGATCCCTTTCATTCCCGTCTCTGCCCTCCCCAGGGATCTCGTTCACCCCCAAGGAGGTGGGTGAGCACATCGTGAGCGTGAAGAAGAGCAGCAAACACGTCACCAACAGCCCCTTCAAGATCATGGTGGGCCAGTCGGAGATCGGAGACGCCAGCAAGGTGAAAGTGTCGGGCAAGGGACTGGTGGAAGGCCGCACCTTCGAGGTGTCCGAATTCATCGTCGATACGCGCACTGCTGGTGAGGAGCGCTGCTGGGATCGTGGCCAGTAGGGGGTGCCAGGTGCCTTCCTCCTGCCAGCGGGGGGTGGAGATTTGGGGGCCTTCTGGGAGTTGGCGGGAACATCGGTCATGTCATCTTGTCGGTGATGTCAGGGCGACGTTCTACCTTTTGGGCAAGACTCTGTGGTAAAAATGGCTACAAACCATAGAGTTTTGCCCAAAAAGTAGAGCCTTGCCCAACCCCCACGTCACCAATGTGATGACGATGCATCGTTGACATCTTGCAGGAAATGTCTGTTGGGGGCGGGGTTTCCCCCACCGGCCAGGTGGCTGGCAGTGGGCCGGAGCCCGCAAAAGCAGGCAATCCCTGGCCCGACTGGGAACCTAAGCAAGCCTCGTGGCCAGTTAGGCAAAGATGTGGAGAGTATGTGCGTGAGATATTCTCTATCCCTAGAGTTTCTGGTATCTGGTATTCTGTATCCCTTAGTCCATATAATCAGATGTAATTGGTATTATGTTGTAAAGTTCTGAAAAACTGTAAAATTATTATTAATAATGGTAATAATAATGATAATAATAATGATATGATGATGATGATGATGATGATGATGATGATGATGATGATAATAATAATAATAATAATAATAATAATAATAATAATAGTGTCAGAATCCAAAATTTTGTGGATAAGAGAGAATACACAAGCCTCAAATTTTTGGATAAGGGAGAAAACACAGTCCCTCAAGTTTTTACAAAGGTCTGAACAATATAATTATTATACAGCTGTTTAAAATGCCATAAATGAATGGAAACATTGGAAAATATACCAAAAGAGTATAGAATTTTATTTTATAAACTTATGTGATAAAATCATGGTAAGAATATAAGGTGACATTTCGAAAATTGAGGTATTTCAATATGTGATTTGATGAGGTAATGAAATCCCCTACAATTTAGATACCTCTGTAAACGCTTGTGTATGTATGAAACTACATGGTTAGGCAGCTAGTTAGATATACGGTAGTAGTTTGATATCAGATTAAATTTTGCTTTTAATGTTTTACTGATGTATTTTAAAACCTTGGAATTTTGTAAAGGTGTACTTCTTTTTTGTATGACTGGTCTAAGGACTGTAGAAATAAACTAAACTAAACTACATGGTTCAGATTTTGAAATGGACCGAAGAATACAATAGATGAAGTATACAGACCTTTTATATAATACAAAATTTTATATAATACAAAAATTTATAGTGAAAAAATATGGAAAAGATTTTTGTAGGAACATAAGGTGTAACATGTGCGTGTAAAATGATGATGTAACTGAACCGCCCCACACAGACATTTATGTATTGGTGTTTGTATGAGTGATGTCTGTCTTTATAAAAAATAAAATCTTTTATTAAAAAATATAATAATCCCAATGGTGCCCGCAGGCCCAAAAAAGTTGGGGACACCTCCTGGAGGCCACGTAAAGGGTAAAAGAGGCTCCCAGGAAAAGAGGACTGTATCTAAGGCCGTCTGCTCTCTCCCCTCTAGGTTACGGCGGTCTGGGCCTCTCCATCGAAGGACCCAGCAAGGTGGACATAAACTGCGAGGACATGGAAGACGGGACCTGCAAAGTCACCTACTGCCCCACCGAGCCCGGGAACTACATCATCAACATCAAGTTTGCCGACAAACACGTGCCAGGTGCCCGTCTCCCCTGCCCGGCGGCCCCTCCTCGGAGCCTTTGAATTCCCGGGCTGCGGGTCTCTGAATTCTCTGTCTGAAACTGTAGAGATAGTGTCAAAGGGGAGCTGTGCTCATCTGCAGTAGGACAGCGAGATTCGAATCCAGGAGCGCCTGAGAGGCCCACAAGATTTTGAGGGCAGGGTCTAACCTTTCGAGCGTCAGTGCTGCCTTGGTCAGATATCTGGTATCGGAGGAAGGGCGCTTTGACTTTCAAAACTTATACCCGGGAAATCTGGTTGGCCTCTAAGGCGCTTTTAAGTTCCAGGAGGGCTGGTTTCAGTTCACAAACTTCTTATCGTTTCCACAATTGAACCAATTGGATAGAGTCAGGGCCAGGGGTCAGGGTGGGCTGTCCCTTGCAGGAGGTTGTAAGAACATCAGAAGAGCCTTGCTGGTTCAGACCAGTGATCCATCTAATGCAGTATCCCGAAGGGATGGCTCCAGAGCAAACTGATTTATGCAGTAGCCAAATCGCTCGCTCACAACTTTAATGCCAGGAGCTCCCAAAGCAGACTTTTTGCTCTCAAGACTCCACAGCTTAGAGGGAACATTGGTCAGGGGTCAGGGTGGGCTGTCCCTTGCAGGAGGTCGTAAGAACATCAGAAGAACCCTGCTGATTCAGACCAGTGATCCATCTAACGCAGTATCCCGAGTGAGCTAGCTCACAGTTTTTTAGCCCCTATCTATACCTTGTGGATCAGGCCAATGAGGGTCCATTTAGTCCAGCCTTCTGTCTCACACATGGGCAGCCAATTCCTCTGGAGGGCCAACAACAGGGCAGAGAGGCCGAGGCCTTCCCCTGATAAGAACATCAGAAGAGCCCTGCGGGATCAGATGAGTGAGAGTCCACCTAGTCCAGCATCCCATCTCACACAGTGGCCAACCAGTTTCTCTGGAGGGCCAACAACAGGGCAGAGGGGCTGAGGCCTTCGCCTGATAAGAACCTCAGAAGAGCCCTGCTGGATGAGACCAGTGAGGGTCCATCTAGTCTCACACAGTGGCCAGCCAATTCCTCCGGAGGGCCAACAACAGGGCAGAGGGGCTGAGGCCTTCGCCTGATAAGAACCTCAGAAGAGCCCTGCTGGATGAGACCAGTGAGGGTCCATCTAGTCTCACACAGTGGCCAGCCAGTTCCTCTGGAGGGTCAACAACAGGGCAGAGAGGCCGAGGCCTTCCCCTGATGTTGTCTCCCGGCACTGAGATTCAGAGTTTACTGCCTTTGAACGTGGAGGTTCCCTTCTGTCACCATGGCCAGTAGCCACTGATAGACTTACCCTCCATGAATCTGTCTAATCCCCTTTTAAAAGCTGTTTATTCTCGTGGCCGTCACTCCATCCTCTGGCAGCGAATCCCACATTTCAGTCACTCGTTCTGTAGAAAAGTATTATCTTCGAGGAGAAGCAGCCCTGGATCTTCTGTGCCAGGCGAGGGGCTGATACAATGGCCTGGAAGCCCCCTTCCGCTTCTAACTAAAACTCTCCGACTTCCGTATCCCTCCAGGGAGTCCTTTCACTGTGAAGATGACGGGCGAGGGGCGCATGAAGGAGAGCATCACCCGCCGGCGCCAGGCCCCCTCCATCGCCACCATCGGCAGCACCTGCGACCTCAACCTCAAGATTCCAGGTAGGGGCTGCGTCAGGGCCGAGGAGGCCACCCAGGGCTCAGGAGCGGAAGAGCTGGGGGGCGGGGCGACCGATAGGGATTTGCTCCCCCCCCTCCCCCACCGCTTCTACACACCCTCTTTCTCCCGCTGTTCTGTCTTTGTTGGGGTCCAGACTAGAAAACCGTTTCTCATTTGCGGAGATTTGAAACCGGGCTTCCGAACGTAGGACTTAGATCCCAAAATTTCAGAAAATACTTTGTGTGTTGTGATATTTGGTTTCGAGGGACCCCGGAGAGAAACTGGAGCCTGGTAGCTACATGCTGAAGGCACGCGATGTCCCTGAAGTCTA